ACCCCAACATATTTGGGATTTCGACGAGCTTGTCAAAGAACTATGTCATACAGAACAAAAATATTAGGAGTAACGTTATGAATGTACAACCCCGTGTCCCAGTTACCTTGCGGGGATCTGGATGAGATGGACAAGGTGACCACATGGTTGGGTCCAGAAGTAGAGGAGGTCAGTTGCACGTCCACCTTGAACGGGATGGTAGGCAGCTCCATGAGCTCACTTGCGACATCCTTTCCGGAAGTGAGGCTGTCCAACGTCATGGGTTCTGGTGTTTGCAAAACATAAGGACATTGCTTTTGCTTTTGTTCAAACATGCAATACATAATGAGAGATCAACTTGAGATAGCGTAATGAATTCCGGTTGAAACATAATTTGTTTTCATATTAATCTATATACAACGATAGCCGACAATATTTCGAAAGTTTTGTTGAGGTCACAGATTGTGCATGCTCACCCCTTTCCTTCTGTTTTTTTCCCTCATCAAACCCATGAAGAAGATCACATGCAAAGACATACTTTTACTCCTTCACACGCTATCTCTCTCTCTCTCTCTCTCTCTCTCTCTCTCTCTCTCTCTCTCTGTCTCTCTCTCTCTCTGTCTCTCTCTCTCCCCCCCCCTCCTCTGTCACTCAAAGTAGCAAACACATACCGCAATCCCCTTTTCCGTGTCTTGAATTTTTTTTTCGAAACTCATCGTGAGTTCAAATGTTTTACTTTTGATGACAAAAGTTTTAAAAAGAAATTCTTTCGACCATGTTCTAAATCTCAATGCAGGTGCTCTACGACACTGTTCTTTCAGCGACTGGCCAGAATGTCTTGTGCTCTGAAGGTCCCATTATGAAAAACGATTATTCTGTATTTTTGAGTGGATCATACTCACAGCGACATGCACTTTTAGCTCTAAGATTTTTGCTCACTTGTGCTCGCTCCTTCGAAAGTCAAAACAACGTATGCGCTTGGGTTTCCAGTCAGTGTCAGTTCCTGAATATCCTCCTGTGTTGAGCTTGGTGTTCCCGATGACGACACTGTAAAAGTCTGAGAAAAAAACACCCCAAGGAATAAGTTATGAACTCTATGTTAATCCTACAAGCCAATTCCTTAAACATCTTCTTGTTCTTTTTCACAGGACTTACAGTTTTCCCGCACTCAATCCACGTAAATTTATTTTGTCCTCTTTCAGAGATAACTAGATTACTGATGATGTCTGGTGAAAATTTGACTTTTCTTTTCAGGGTCTGTTTCGAAGCTCGAGGTGAAATCGGAAAATAAACAGTGGACGACGTAAGTCTAAGAAAAGAGAGTAGGCCTATATTATTTACACTGAAGGCATCAAATTTAATTGCTTTGAATCTCTCAAACCAGAAACAGAGAAGGTAACCCGGGGGAGGGGGGCATATGCATGGACAAGTCACTTGACTTATTATATTACCAGTATTTCTTGGGTGACTTCTGAAGTGAATTTCAGGTCCTGGACTTCATGTTCCGCCATTCCAGTGTCTTCCTCAGTGATTGAAGTCTCCATGAGGTGAGCCACCAGAGCCACATAGGAATCAGCATCGGAACTGCCGTAATGTATTTCAGTGTAGTACCTAATTGGTGGAGAAGAAATTGCAATTTGCTTCAACCCTGAGAGCAAAATGGTTTGACATTTTCAGAAAATACTCAATCCTTTCACAGCCACCAACGTTTAGTACTTTTCAATACTTTCTAAATAAGGTTGTAGTTTCTCTTTTACACCAATAACAAAACTTTCTGAAAGCATTCTGAAGGGAAGCCTCTAAAAGAGTATTTAATTTCATTTCTTACTTTTGTCCTGCAGTAAGACTTCGTTCTGCTGTTTCCTTTCCTGTGCAACTATCTCCGGAATCAGTAAGGATCAAGGCCTGTAGATTGCAAAAAAGATGGGCTTGTATTGGGAACAAGTGCAAAATTGATGATAAACCTAATTTTTCGACATTTATTTGTATTGTACGTGGTAATAGGGGAAAACGACTAGAAAAATAGGTATACTTATTCAGTTTTATCAAGTATGCCCCCCCCTCCCCCAAGTCTTGTCTTTCAGAATTGCTACTGTTGCAGCGAAAAAAATGTGTAAATGTAACTCACTTACATTTATACACAAAATGGACGAAAATTCAAATAAACGAAAAGCAGGCTTGTGTGTGCCAGTCCACCTTAAAATACTTTTATACTTGATCCATTTTCTGTTAACTGTCAATGATGTTGGTACATGTACCTTATTGTTGGGGTTTTCGTCCGTGCTCAAGTACACTTGGGCTGTGGACTTGGCTTTCACGCAGAACTTGTAAGGTCCAGAATAGATGGGAACAAAGAAGCCGACCATCTGGATGGCGTGATCGGGCCAGTTGCTAGCTTCCCATCGACTCTGGTCCACGTGCTGGATTGCAGCCGTGTTTCTGTTGATGCTGGAGGCGTCTGTGGTTCCATTCTCCATGTAGACATAGAAGCCTCTACTTCCTAAGAAAAGCATACCAAGAC